ATTTGAAGTTTAATAACATGAGACTTGAGAAGAGACCTTAAAATATGAAGTTGAATAATATACGATTTATATAAAAAAAAAATCCAAATCTTCCAAAATACTAGTTCAATACACACCCCTAAATGACCAAATATTGATTTGAACTTGAGTGTACATTAGGAGAAATTAACCTAAATTATCTAAGCATCTAACCATATCAAATCATATTTGCAAAAACAAAATCAGCTCGTCGTATGTCCTCTAATTTGGCTATATTTTAGTGACCAATGGACATTTTTGCGACCTAACACTCTACGCAACATATTGATATATAAGAGTTGCTATAGTGCATTTGAGACGTACACTCTGTGTAATATTATATGCTAACATATTTGTGAGATTCGAGCTTCATAGCCCTTTTTCAAAAAAAAAGAGATTTGAGCTTCATGCATGAAAAATGAAGTTAATCTTGATAGACAACAACAAAAATTTGGATCAAAAAAATTTAGGCTTACTTAAACTATAAATTTATAAATTTTGATCTTTTGTGATATGAAATTTGATTAGTAAATCCAATTGAATAATAAGTTTTTGTAAATTACTACACTTTTAACAAAGTTCATTATGTTTTCTTTTGTTAAAAATTCTGGTTATAACATTCTTCATAAAGAGACTACAACTGATTAAAAGAAAAGAGGTTTAATCATGTGGCATCTCTTATATAAATACACTAACGTGAAATAAAAAGAAGTACACGATTATATATAGATTCAACATTGTGGTTGATATATTGTGGTTTCGATCTTGTACACATGATCACATGAGGTTGATTATGATTTGTCACAAGTGCAAGTGTTGTGAGAAATGTAGACTTGTGGAATTAACTTATCGTTATTTGTATCTTCAAGAATTTATATATGTAAAGAAGGGTAGAGTATACCTTTAAGGATGAATGCGTTGTAGTAACTTTTTGTTTGAGTGTCTATAATCTCTTTATACCAGATTTAGGTGAATAGGTCAATCATCCTTTATTAATACTTGTGGATCTTAAACGTTGAAAACATAAAAGAATTAAAGGATTATGTATATCCAAAGCTACTTGTCAAGAATACGGAGTATAGAATTCAATTTTGCAAAAGGAATTCATATAGATTGAAAGCAAAGTTTACACAAATAAAAGGAAAAAAAAAAAAACATGAAACCATGTGTAGGTTTGTAGCAAAATATTAAAATTAAGTACCAAAAAAATAAAAGTTATTAGATACGAGTAGCAACAAGTACAAAAGGATGGATTAGATCAAATAAAACTCAATAGCATATTTAAGAATCCACATTTTCTGTTGGGTTAAGCTTAGTACTCAGGTTTTGGAGAAGCTGAGTACGATGGTGGGGGTGGAGAGCTGTAGACATATGGGGGAGGAGGAGATTTGTATACAACCTTAGGGGAGGGAGAATAGTATGGTGGTGGTGGGGAACTGTAAACATATGATGGTGGAGGAGACTTGTATTCTACCTTATGAGAAGGTGAATAGTATGGTGGTGGTGGAGAACTGTAAACATATGGTGGTGGTGGAGACTTGTAGTCTACCTTAGGGGAAGGAGAGTAGTATGGTGGTGGTGGAGAACTGTAAACATATGGGGGAGGAGGAGACTTGTATACCACCTTAGGGGATGGGGAGTAGTACGGCGGTGGTGGGGAGTTATAAACATATGGTGGAGGGGGAGAC